ACTAGTAGCTCCTGGCCTTACTACTAGGAGCAAGAACGCTACTAGTAACAAAGGGCATCGCACAAAACACAGCACTGACCATTGGGTCTCATCCGCCTCTTTCAGCCGCTCGCCCAACTCCTCCGCCGGGGCTGCGCGTCGAAGCCTGCCATCGAGGTCTTGGCCTAAAAGCCGCGGTGGAGAGAATGGTACTAGCGGCATCTTGCTACTACGTAGTAGTATGGCCAGAAGCTACTAGTAGCGTCCTGGTTCCTAGTAGCGATACCCTTGGTTCCTAGTAGCTGCTTGCCACTTATATGCTCAACATGCCAATAGAGATTTCGATTTATCAAGGGCTAGTATCGTGTAGTCAAGTTGGCCTAAGTCGAGAATCCAAGCGCACAAACACAGGTTATGGAGTTGCGCACTTGAGCCTCTGGCAATCGCCTTCAAGTCGCTTCAGGGCTTCCCAAACCTACGTCTTGAACTGGAGTCGCAAGAACATATAAGAAGATCATATAAGAACAACATGCATGAGATTGCCAGAACTCAAAAAGTGAAGCGAGTTGTTTGTCTATTCAGATCACCAGTAGTAGGCACCTCATCAAGCGCAGTAGGTGCGAGTCCAGCCTTCAGCCGCTCGGCAATTTGGCTCTTAACCACATCAGACTGTGCTGGGGTGCTTCTTGTGATGAGTTGTCTGTCTTGTCTGAGTGACGAGCCCGTTCCAGGTCTCGCAACCTCGTATCCACCTGAGTTGTGAAGCACCAAGTCACTGTTACCTACCGACCAAGTCACGATGTGCCCTCCCTCACACGCACAATCCGGTTACCCACTGGACATCTTCCAGCTGCTTGGAGATTGCCAATGAAGTGTAGAATTCTGTCGAAGAACCGAAAGTGTGCCTTTGACCTCTACATCTAGGGGGGGTGGCACGCCGGTTGAGCTGCTCTAGGGCAGCATCTGCAGAAGCCTCACAATGCTTCAGGCCACTTGACGTGTTCAATTATGGGACAGGTCAATGTCTCGCCTGGAGCGTTTCGCCAACACCCCGCAGCTGCTCCTCCCTGGCCTGAAGGGCACGCATGGATCCGCATGGGCTCACACAGGCCAACAAGACGCATGGCTCCTAGTAGTGATGGCCTCCAGCCAACCTACTAGCGATAGCCTCCACCCTAGTAGCGATGGCCTCCAACCTAAAAGCGGCTTTTGTGTGCTCACATTTAGCTTCAATAAATAAGCACCGAAATCCAATGCTGGTCGGCTGGTCTTCAGGCCAGCCGTAGTGGTGGACCGATTGAAGTGGATGGTGCTGCCTGCAGGCGCTTATCCGAGATCGCCAAAAAGGACCGCAATTCTTCCTGCAAGCGGAGAACTAAGACTCTCAGACATCATGAGACAACTTTCCTGCGAACAATTGGTCCATGGATGTCTATACATCACTGGAGCAGGTTCATCAACTCATCCATCAAAGAGCTCCTCCAAACGTCTCTCTAGTGTCTCGATGCAGCTGCGCAGCTGTACCACCTGCAGAATTAACACATGACTTTCATGTGGAGACATGACTTTCTAGTTGACTCGCCATTTGAGTCGAACAGCTATACACATGATGTATCATGATGTGATGATTCAAGGATCTGGTGTATATATATAATATAGAAGCGCTTGATTCCATGGACATTAGAAGAAAGGATTGAAAGGGAGGTGATGTAGGACCAATGAGACTTCTCCAAGCTAATCTTACCTGGTGGCAGACTTGATTATCTTGATTTGCAAGGTGAGAGCCGAACTAAAAGGCTTGAACTTGAAAAAACTACCAACAAGTACAGTTGAATCCACTCGAAGGTCTGGACAGTCTGGACCTACAACTCAAAGTCTTCACTCAGGGCGCCTGGGTTTCCAGTTCAACGCCAGAGCCCAGAGTGCCCAAAGCCTGACTCCGCACCTGGTGTTGTTGCGGTCCGACCGAAAATTCCGAGTTTCGACCTTTCCATGCACAACACGATTCGAAGCCAGTTCTAGGGTTCTACTTGTCTAAGATGAATGCTGGAGGTATGTAGGGCGCAGGTGATGAAAAAACTTCCCCAGAGTACCTGGCGTTCACAAGATGGGAGCACTTCAAATACCGGCATAGCATACGAATGGCTGCAGCATCAGTGCCTCACTAGCTTGATATCTATTGTGAATGCAGGGACAGAAAAGCAACGTGTTGACTTCAAAGTGACGACCAGTGTAGGTCAAATGGATTTGGGAGATAAATACAAGGCTGCATCACTTTGCCATTGGTATATACTAGAGGCATTGACAGAAACTTGGTTGCACGCCTTTGTGCCTCTTGCCGTGGCTTGAGTGCGGCAAGGTTGGCCTTTCATGACTTTCACATCGCATCTACTGTACTCCACGTATTATGAACAAATGCTCCCGAACGCGTAACGCGGCTTGGTTTTGATTCAGTGCTGCTCACCGGGTCATATAGTTGGACACTGAGTCCGCTAAATTTGATTGGCTTTGCTCCGTAAGGTTGCAACCTCTGTTTGCCGCAGCAATGCCTTGCATTGAGGGACAAGTTGGGCGCATCCATTGAAGATTCCAAATGCGAAGACTGCCATATTGACGTGATCCGAACAAGTCCAACCTAGGCCCCCCTGCAGCAATGGAATTCACATCAAAGGAGGTACGCTGCATCCTCCACCGCTGCCCGATATGGCCTCGATCAGGGAGGAAACGAAACAGAGATGCTGAGAACTCTGTTGGGCTTGCCAAATGCTGCCAGGTCCAGGCCTTCTTTCAAGCAGTCTATCACTGGCAGCCCAGTTCTGTAGTATTCCTTCTTGGAGAGAAAAGTCGCTGGCTGTAGTTCTGTAGTCGCTGGCTGTTCAAAACACAAACTCCAACCTCCAACTGTCTTCGTTCGATCATGTCATTGAATATAGAATATTCAAGCATAGTTCGGGCGGCCAAAGTCCGAGCTGAATTGCAGCAAGTCCGAGGATCATGCCGCAATGACACAAGAGAAGGGCACTCGAAGCAGCACACGCGGCGCTCAATGCGTGTTGTTTTCGTGTTTTCTCTCACTTCTGCTTAATCTGCCTTTACGGCGGTCTGGTCAAGTGTGACCAAGTCCTGATCATTCATCCCTTTGAGGCATGACGAGCAAAAAATTGTGTTGGAGAGCCTTGCATGCCTTGCGCGGGCAAGTCGTAAAGGTCATGCTCTTCCGCGGTGAAGAGACAGATGAAAATGTCGGAGCGACACGTCCAATTGCAATAGGCTGCGAAGGAAGATCGGAAACTCCAGACCCAGACACACACACCCTTAAGAAAAAGACTTTAAGGAACCTGATAGCGATGGCCTCCACCCTAGGAGCGATGGCCTCCACCCTAG